GCCGGGGGCGTTGGACAAGTAGAACTGCGAATAATTTTGCCAGATTTAAATTTTGGAACTAAAAATGATTTCTTCCCAATTTTTGGAAAATCACCTGTTTTGAGAGAAATTGTAAAGCCAAAACAATGGTTTATCAAAACTAGTTGGGTATTTCCTCAGGACCAGGTCCTTCGCCGGCATCGAGACTATCAAGAGTCATAAAAATTTCTTGAACAGTGATATTATTAACTGATACTTCATTTTCCCCTTCATTTAGATAAGAAAAATAGTTCAAATCGAGAGCATTACTGGATTTCTTATATATGTTTTGGAAAAAGCGAGTCTCTATCATGGATTATACAATAATACGGAATATCGATTTTTGACTTCATATGGTCAGCGAATCCAAACACATAAACCAACCAATAAACCAACGATACAGACAAAACGTTTGCTACGACTACCATGACAAACTCGCTCTGTAACACAACTCGATCGGAGCGGTAGAAGGATAATGATATATTGCTTGCCCGCTTTAGCGGCACCGGTGGTGTAGTGGTAAGCGTGATTACCTCTCACCCCAGCAGGCCTGGGTTCAATCCCAGTCGGCGCCGCCGGGATGTTCTGAGGCATAACATCTCTGATTACACCTTCCTTCGGAAGGGAAGTAAACCCCTTTGGTCCCCGGTTCATGAGTTGATGGGTCGATAAGTAGGGTCCAGGTGTGGGAGCTGCCTCCCTGGCGTCGGTAGCATTGGTGCCCAGCAAGGAAAACAAGATCGACAGAAAACAAATCAAGGAAAAAAAATTGCTTGCCTGCTTTGTTGCAATATACATGGATGTGGACGTCGAGAAAAGAGATAACAAAAAAAATCCCATTATCACACGTGTATCATCTTCGGCTTTACTTCATGAAGCAGCTTGCCAACAATTTGCTCGTTTCCTGCGACCGCCCTGAGTGAGCGGTGTCATTAGGGAGCATCCATAAATGACGTAGCATATTTTTGATCAATTGTAGACCCCTCCTCCCCCCCTCGTAGCGTATTTGGCTATATCCCATACATGGCCGGTCACAAATTCTGAAACCCCCACCTCCCCCCTAAAATGCTACGTCATTTATGCATGTTCCCTTAGAGAAAAGGAAGAAGATTATATCATTATTGCTTTCCACTTCTGACATAGCGTTATCATTCGATTCGTTGAACGCTTGTCATTTTATCATTTGGAGATATTTTTGATTCCTTGCTTATGGTCGTTCCCGTTCCGAAAATAATCAACATTTCACGATTACTTTTTTAAATGGAGATTTGTTAGCAAAGATTCAAATGTCAATTTGTCGAAACTCTTAGTACTCCCACGTAAACTATCATAAAAGGTAATGTTTCCCCAACAATACGGTGTTGTTATTTTGCGTGGGAGAGCCAAGAGTTCCAACAAATTGACATTTGAATCTTAATTTATTAAATTAGATAAGTCCCTTTGAAAAGTTATCTGGATTTTAAGGTATCTGCTAAACCCGCCAAGTTATAAACGCATGAAAATTATCAGTTTTTTTCGATTCCCGTGGGGAAAGGCTAATCGTGTGAATTTGACAGCTTGTTCTACATCGGTATGTGGTCCATTATTGCCGCTAGGGTGGTCAAAAACATAAAAACTTTAATATCTCCGTTATAAGCAAGAATTGAGGTATGGTGTAGAACAAGTGATTGCATGATTGAAATATGCTACCACCCTGTTGCAGGATGGCCACTCCCTTCGCTCCATTTATTCTGCCAGCTGACAAGTGACTGTTGACGATAAATGGAAAACAAAATTCAGGCGATTTGTCGATCGTAAATATCGCCTTCCATAGCGCCCACCTTAGCAAGTGAGTCCGCCATCTCATTGCCCGGAATCGAGCAATGAGGTGGGACCCATGCAAAGGTGATGACAAAAGATCTTAAAGATAAAGCACTTAGAAGCTCTCGTATTTTCATGAGAAAATATGAGGAGTGCTTTACCGGCCTCATAGAGCGAATAGCCTCGACAGAACTGAGACTATCCGTAAAAATAAAGTGAGGCGATCGTCTCTAGCGTATAGTATATTGCCGCCAGCTCAGCAATATATACGGAACAGGGAGCTTGAAGCATTCGAGAGGCGCTATGAAATTCGTTATAAATACCAAAACCAGCGGACGCCTCTATTAGTGATCCATCTGTGAAGAACGATCTTGCGGAATCAACTTGGCCAAACTTTGCAGTGTATAATGACGGAACAATCTCGGAACGATGATGTTCTGGGATTCCGCGAATCTCTTGCGTCATAGATAAATTAAAACTGACTGAATTGCCGAAGTCGGAGAATCATACACGATGAAGATTATGCTGTGAAGGGCTGACATCCTGTGTTATGTACACGTGGTACAATGACATAAAACGAGTTTGAGGGTTTAGCTCAAGAAGCTTCTCAAAGTTTTCGATTACCAGTGGGCTCATAACTTCACAACGGGTGAGGAGCCTGACGAACAATTCCAAAAACCGATCTGATAGTGTAGACATGCCCGCCAACACTTCTAGACTCATCGTAAGAGTCGAGTGCATACATCCTAACGCGATACGAAGACTACGGAGAAAATTGGTCCTTTGATGGCATTTTCGTCTCATATACTCAATGTGGGATCGCCAGGTGCATTTGAAATCGAACCAGACCCCAATATATTTGAAAGACATAGAATGAATTATCGGTTTACCCAAAAGTTGAAGCTTAGGTTGTGCTGGGCTATGCTTCCTAGAAAAAACGACCAACTCAGTTTTCTTCGTGGAGAATTCGATACCTAGCTGGATAGCCCTAGTAGACAAATTGTCTAAGGTATCCTATAAGGGTCCTTGCAGGTCGACCCCTTTGGGTCCTGTCATAGACACTACGCTGTCATCTGCAAGTTGTCTCAACGTGCAGTTGTCACTTAGACAATTGTCAATTACTCTGACGTTGAAATTTAACGCCGGAGATAGAGAATAGGAAAAATGTCGCAGCCTATTATTTTTCAAACAGTTCATCGTAATCAAATTTTAGCTGCAAGCTTGCGTGTGACAGTAAATTATGAACAATTTTAACACCTATGGTTAGTATTTATTATTATATTTTAGTTACATGTAATAAACAGCATCAGTCAGAAATCAGCTAAATTCTACATGACATAAATTTATGTCGCACGTTGGTCTTGTCTGCTTCTTTGTGCGAAAATGTTCTGTCGCTGGTCGAAAACAGATCACCAATGTCACAACATTTTTGACGCTTGCCAGTTTGTGTATGTGTTTCTTCACTATGGTCATACAATGTTCAAATGTTAAGGAAAAAAATGTTAAAAACCAGTATTCGTGCCACCACTGCTCAGGCATCACTTGATTTCTTTCAATGCTAGTCTGATTTCTCTTCATGAAGATTTTAAAATTCCACAACTTCTACCCTTTAAAAATTAAAGTTTTCTTCGACAGGATCTCTCTCTTTTGAGTAATTTTTTGAAATCACGAATCTGTTTATTATAAAAAATATAACACAAGTGTTAAAACTAATAGAAAATAATTTAAAAATTAAAGGGTATGTGAAATCGATGGATGCATTTCTAAGGTCTGTTCCCGTACTTAGTTCTTTGATTTTGCTGTAAGTTGATGAAGCTTGCTGTAAGAAAATCATATGCTGTAGACAGTACGGGAACATACTTTTGCTTTTAGCTGTACAGATTCTTACAGAAGAGCAAGTAGCTATATTTGGGCTGTATACAGTTCCAATCATATCATATAATCATATAATCATGTTTTAACAGATATTAACTAAAGAGGTTGAATTGTGTAAAGAGGCGATATCTCATTCATTTGACAGGCTGTCTGATCGATTGGAATAACTTTTCCCAAAACTTTGACAGATAACCGTTTGTTCCAATTTTGACGTATCATCTCGTTCTGGATTCAGTCTCTTTACCACTAGCCTGTAGGGGTGGCGAAAAACTGTCATACTGATTCAGTCAGTTATTTTGTTAATTTGAGAGCTGTTGTTGGGCCTTTGGAGCACCCTTAATTGATATACATGGGTTTTACAAGTCTAAAACTAATCTAGAGCGAGTTTGTCACCCCTGACTCCCTACCCTCCCCCAAATTGCATGTTGCCCATGCTAGTGCTCTTTAGTATTCACTATCACTTTAGCGCAGCTATGTGAGCAGCGCTATCATTCTCCAATATTATGGCTGAAGCCAATATTTTTCCTCAAACTTGTTCCGGATGCCTACTGCAAGAAGGAGAGGAAGCAACATGGGTTAAAAAACTGGGGCTCCATTTGGCATTGAAAAATTCAGTCCCCATATTTGCAAAGCACTATGACGGTTTCCAGCACAAATCTACAGTAATTTGCCTTCCACTTCGGAAGGAGTTTTCTGACGTTTTAACATGTAATTAATTCAAGCAAAACATAGTCCGATTATATTTTAAAATTGACATAAAGAATTTTCAAAACTATGTTTGACACCGTTTGAAACGTAAATGCAATATTTTTCTCACAAAAAAGTTCTCTTCTATGATCAAAATTGGGGTATCGATCTTGCGTCAATGTGGTCTGGAAACCCCTATCTCACAGTAATGGAAGGCGGAAGCAAAAATTCTCCCCACCGACCGACGTCGAAGATATACTAAAAATAATTTAAAAATTTATCACAACTTTCCTACCTTCCATGCATAGTGGAAACTGGAAGGTAAACGAGATTTGGAAAACGCCCAATCCAGTCACTTGTGGTGGTCTTTCCATTCGGATTCGGAGTAGCCTCCCAAATATAAGGGATGTTTACAAACAAGAATGCGGCAATATTATATTTAGAACTAACCAAACCAAGCACTCACGGGATGTTTTTCCGCATCCCAAAGTGATTTCAACGATTCGACCTACTTTTGTTGCTGAAACCCGTTTCGCCTTATCAAACCGAATACCTGCGTTGATTTGAAGAAAATAATAAATGTTTTACCTTTTCTTTTCGTTTTTTTCTTTTCTTTTCAGACTAAATATCGTAGCGGAAAAGAAACCATATCATATATCTACACCTGTATAGTAGAATAATATTTACAAAATTTACGAAGATATTGATACCCACTAGTTAAATAAACATGATTCGAGGAGTCTCGTCGCGTCTCGCCGTACTGAGCAATGCCACCAATGCAGTGAAAAAATCGTGGAGAAAGCAATGTGTTCAATTACTAAGTACAAAAAGTCAGTTTAAATATTTAGAGGACTCCGTCTTCCCGCCGGAGAATGGCTTCGAGCAGAATTCGTTGTATGGAAAAACTCTCCAAATACCGCATACCACTCTGGAGCAGTACGTGTGGGATAACTTCAGCCAGTGGGCCAACAGAACGGCAGTGGTAAGTATCTATAGCTACCGATAGGGATTTTAAACTTTGACCGTAAATTTACCCCGCACATGAAAGACAACAGCATGCAGTCTACAATGACGATTTATTATTTTTACCGTTGAGCTTTGGACAGTGGAAAATATGACACCCAACAGAGAAGGCGCAAACAGCAACCGAGTGTTGATTGCCATTTAGAGATAATTTTGTCTGCAACCTTCCTGCAATAAACAATAATGTGGCTTATCAGTGACACGGAGAGGTCAAAATCCAGTTTGTACACGGTTATTGGTTCATCCTTCCTCATATTCATGTGCAAGATAATGGACGGGAGAATTGGAATAAACAAAGATTAGTTATGAAGTGTAACTTTTTTATTTCGGCTGTGCCTATTAGGAAATGGGTCACCAACACTGTAACGTTCGCAGAATTTTTGTAGATTATTAATATGATAGAAGTTATGATCAAGTGTCTAAGTAATGTTAGTTTTAATATATTTATTGGGAACTTCTTATGCGAGCATTTTGCCGGCTTTCAACCTCAACTTCGTGCTCATTGAAGCACTTTCCACAAGCTCGAAATCAAGACATTTAGTTCACAAAGTCGGACACTTTTTAAATTTGCGTAGCTCTGCCTACTATGCTCAAATTAGTAAGCACGTTTTATCATAGTCTTTGAGTATCGTTCTGAGTCATTAAAAATATTTTTTTTTATTTCAAAATAGGCATAATATTTATTTTAAAAAAAATTAAATGTTCCGATTAGCGAACCGTCCGGTATTCATCCGGTGCATTACGATATGTACGCTCGTAAAAAAAATAACCAAAGAGATACAATGAAATGAAGTGGCACCGGTGCGTCGGTAGCATTGGTGCTCAGCACGGAAAACAAGATCAACGGAAATCAAATCAAGGAAAAAATACAATGAAATGTGTTGTAACCATCCAATAGAATTTATTGTATTAACAATAATCCGCATTGTCCACAACAATGCAATAACCATAAAAGTTATTGTTTTCACAATATAATTTATGGTAAATGGGGAAATCTACAATAGAACAAGGTATTTGTTATGTATCTTAACCATAGAAATATTTAATCACTTTTTCCCACCCCCCGAGTATCTAGACAGAAAACCTTAGTTTCACGTACCCACTTACAAATTGTAGATGTCTCCACCGTACGTAAACAATGGGTTCAGCCATCGTTGGGGGCACAACTTTTTTCACATCAGAAAACATGTTTTTGTTTCACTTCATGTGGACGTCGAAAGCAGGCCAAGAATAAATTTTGAGTGAGACGTATTACAGATGTTGCATTATTTTCCTTATATCTTGGAATTTAATCGATTTGATGAAATCAAAATTCATTATTTGGTATGGTCTGGTTAATTCCTCGGGGGCATCTGGGACATGCCCGGAACTGACCAATGTGATCCACGGGGCTCGAAATGCCTACAATTGAAATGGTTATCATATTTTGAAGTAATTGGTTTTGTCACATGATAGGTTTTATTTCTTACCGGTCAAATTTAGTATCATGGCTCACATTCCCCGAAACATGTTCCTGCCACATTTCCAGCACCAGTTGACCGATTCTGAATCTGTTCAATAATGCTCTATGGATGAGGCTATGGGATCATGATACTTTTCATTTTGTTGCTTGCAATTTACATTAGATACGAGCTCCAAAAATCCATGTTTATCGGAAACAGTTGACCGATTCTAAATTTGATCAACAGCATTCAATGTGACCATAATACTTTTTGTTAGCTAGTTATTTCGTTTATTCGGTTATGTGGTTGCTGACCAACACCACTTAGTTCGCGAATTCCGCGATTTTCGGGTCTTGTTCCGTCCATATCTCCGGGACCAGTTGTTCGATTGAAAATCTATTAATTAACACCCGCATTAAAAATAACCATAAGAAGCGCCTAACCTCCAATTCGGGTTATCATCCCATCTTTATGTGGTATGGTCGTACCATCTATGATATCGTTAGTGTATGGTACATGTTTATTAGGGCATTCGATAGAATCATGGTACCTTTCATTTGATGGCTGTTGTGTTCAATTCGGTAAAGTGGTTGCCGAGAAATTCGTTTAAGAAAAATGTGTTACGCGCTCTCACACGCACATATACAGACAGACATTTTCCAATCCCGTCATGTTTAGTCGATTGCATAACTATGAGAAAAAATATCAATGTTTTTTACAAAAACAAAACTTAAAAATGTTTAAAATTAGTTGATCAAAAATAAGACCAATTGTAAATTTACTCCACCATTATTCGATCTGACAGAACCAGAGGACTAGAATTTTCGGGGTAACTTGACATTATACTGGAGCTGTCAAATAGCTCCCGGGGTGCTTTTTCCCCAACAAACTTGAGCTATTTACCATTAAGTACACGCCCGTCAAAAGTAACTCAGAGACTGAGTCATCAAGTTTACTCACTCTCTTTTTTCCCATACAAACTTTACTCAGTTTCGTTAAAAGTGGAGTTACTCATAGCACTGAATAAATCCACAATTTACGAAACTGAGTAAAAATGTTGTGGAAAAAAATCTGAGTTGCTTTCAACGAACGTGTCTTGTATTTCTATTGTTGAAAATTCTTACTTCTTGCGACGTATTGAAGATTTAGTGTAATAATGTGTATTTTAATATCACATCAAAGTGGATGTACTTCAATCGCGTCGAAAATATGGTGTAACATTAGTTGCCAAAATGGACAAAATTATCAATAATACAGTACATGAACTGCCATAACGCTGTTTTTACTGCATTTGTTTATTGTTGTGGCCATAAAAATTACATGAGATTTTCATCAGATTGCATGTAATATTAAAAAAAAAAATTTGCTGTGTAGGCAGCTATGAAAATGCAATATTAAAACGATAAAATTCTCTATAACCTATGGATAAATACTCCCCAACAAACAATTAGTGCTGATTGAGGACTGAATGAGCCATTTTTGAGTTGAAGAAGCATATTTTTGCCTGGGTAGGCTCTTAGTCACCATCCAATATTTGTTGGGTCCTTTATTGCATAAGGACCTACCCCTGTTTTTAGTAGGAGAAGCGAAGCGATGGGCCAGCGTCTAGAATGAGCTTCCAAAAGAATCTTCTTTTAGAAGTGTATCCTAGGCGCTTGCACGTCGCTCTGCTACTCTGACAAAAAAAAACACACGGTCATTAAATCTGAGTATTTATGTACGTAGTAAAGGAACATTTCTTAAGATTCATGTAGCATTTGATCGATTTATTGTTAGAAAAACAATTTTCTCAATTACAATATACTAATTTTCTTTGTATGATATACGTACAATAAGATCGGTAGTTGGTAGTTGTGTTTTATTTCATGGTATTTTTATTTGTTATTATTTTCCGGGCAACCGATGAAAGTAACTCAGAGACAGAGTCACTTTTACTCTGTTGTATGGATAAATAAAAAAAAAACTAGGTTACTCAGCGGTGAGTAACCAACGTTTTTAGAAATTTATTATTCAACTGAGTAAAAGTGACTCTCTGAGGCAAGGTTGCAAATACTCATTTCAGCTAAAACAATGTTTTTTTTAAATTATGAAATAATTTGATGATATGATCATATTTTGAATAAGCAAGATACAAGAAGAGGTTGCAAAGAATGTTTTTTTTCTTTATTTTTGTGATTTTTAGCCGTAGGCTAGTTCATCACATAAGTGCAAAGAATGTGTTTGACATATTAAACCTGTTTATTTCACTTCATGAGAGTCACATTCAGTGATTTTTCACACACACACTCACTCACTCGCTCACTCACTCACTCACTCACTCACTCACTCACTCACTGACTCACTCACTCACTCACTCACTCAGCGATCAGCAAATCGCTGATTGTGACTCATAGAAAGCAAAATTTACAGGTTTTATGTTTCAAACGCATACTGTGTAACCTCTTCTTGTAAGTTACAAGTAAAACATGTCATCATACCATCTTTTGGTTTTATTATTCCGAAAAACATTATTTTAGCTGAAATGAGTATTTGCAACCTTGCTCTGAAGTAGTCTCATCGACCGTTTATAGTATAGCATGCACAATGATACTCTATGTCCAGTAATTGACACAGACAAGGAGAGATTTTCTGGACCAGACCGGGTTTCGGACCCGCCTCTGCTTGGTAATACCAACCGGTGGAAACTAACGATTTTAAATTGGCTCACTACTTGACTAGCCTATTGGTCTCAAGCAAATCGAATAACGTACCCCATTCTAGTCACAATTCTAGTACTACAATATGTTTGTTTTGATTCGCTATGAAAGTTTGACAGATAAAATGAGGGGTTTGGGGATTTTTCTATGTTTCGAGGGGTGCATCGATTAGCTTGGGACCGAAGATAGTACCAGAGCTCATCCAAAAATTTTAGCACGTTTCTTCGGGACCTTCTGGTCTTAGAGTTTCCTCTATGGTAATACCGTGCATTACCTGTCAAGGCTATCTGAGGTTTCCAGTTGATCCTATAGTACGATAGTAAAACAGAGGTGCATTGATCATTTATAATTTAACCTTGCAAAAGCTTGATAAAATAGCATTAATATTACCGGAATATTGCTGAAGCTTATGTACTTCCAACTTAAGATGATTTTACTATTATAAATTGTTTCCATTCAAAGTGTTTTTATATTACTTCATACGCGAAGTTAGCGATTTTCAGAGTTGGTTGGAAATGCTAACATGAAGCTTTAGTGTGAGCGAAGGGCCATTAATGCGACAGTATAAAGTCAAACGCACATCTTTTGCCAAACCCGTACGATGTACGCGGAGACTTGAAGTATGTCTTCAAGTCTACAGGCCCACAGTTGTGCGTTCGACTTTATTCTGTCGCATTAATGGCCCTTCGCTCATTTTCAACTTCTATTCAATTTTCATACTGCCGTACTCTAACGGAACTTTCCACCTACCCTCTTCTAAAGATCATTCTCTAGCTAATAAATTATCACACTAAAGTTTCATGTTAGCATTTCCAACCAACTCTATTCTAAATTGATTTTAAAACGAAACATTATAAAAACTGATCAACCAACTTCTTAGATCTCTTAGATTCTTTGTTAAGACAGACAAATTTTGACGCATTTGACAGATGCAATTTTTCTTTCGCTCACATTTTGACAAAAAAAGGCTACCGTAAAACAGGGTATCTCTGATAATGCGGGTAACTTTGATAGTATAATGTAAAGATTAAATTTTCCAAACATTGGTTCGATATTGTAGCTTAGGGTATTTCCGTTGATATCGTATAAAGTTTTTATATAGTATGTGTTACATATTTTGCAAATATATTAAAATAACAATTTTCTTGTTTTCGCCTGTTTGAAAAAGCACTCAAACCATCACTTATAAAATGTATTTCCTATATAGCCATCACAAATTCAATGTGGTATTCTTATTGCTTATGATATTTTCTGATTATATACTCATTCAAAGTTTCATATTTAAAGAACATTCATCGAGCATTATCAAAGTAACCCCAAATCAAAAAACTGAAGTTCGGTCACAAAACTAAAAAAATAGTACAAATGCTTTAATTTTCATTAAACATATTACTAACGAATTGACTTTTGGATCCTCAGTACTTGTTTTAAAAATATAAAATTTGAAAAACATTCATAATTATTTAGAAAATACTTTAAAAAACTATCAATGATACCCCGTTTTACGGAACCCACAAACAATCTTTCATTCCGAATGTAAAAGTTGAGTGTTAATACAACAATAGTGGTTGATTATTGGGAGTTTTTTCGTGAAATACTTATCTGAGTGCGAGCATAGTACAAGAGTGTGTCAAGTTTAAACCTACGTCAAATATGGTACCTCCAGGATATTTGGAAAACAAACTTTGTACGAAAATTAAGCCAACATAAAAATTACAAAATTATTTAAAAAAAAACCTTCCGGCGACCATGTTACAGAATCTGTTCATGCGGTCAAATATTGCAAATGATGCATACTTTCATGCAAATCTGCAATAGAATCATACATTTACCGGTTGATTGAATCGCACGTTTTGAACGTTGTCCCCACTACCTTTCTATCATTATAATGGAAAATTTATGGCTCACGGTTATGTAAAAATGCATGCAGCATCGAATCTTCTGACTTGAACTTTATTAAAAGTGCTTTCTTCTTCGCAATGCTGTAAGTTGCTTCCATCTGAACAGGATTCGTATCCAGTGATCACTTTGACACGCAAAGTAAATCTAATCATGGGATATTTCATACAACCAACAGTTTTTAAAGCAGCTTCTAATGCACTAGATTTGAGACAAGGAATCGATTAATTCAAAATACTGAATGACGCATACTTTGGCGTAAAAGTAACCGCACTAAGTAGCTCCGTTACTATGAGAAACAATATGGTGAATTCAAGACACAGTCAATATCTGAATGAATCGAGGAAAATATTAAATATTATTTCTCTAGTTACAATAACAATACAGCAACATTGTATGCTATAGGAGATGCATCTTGAAACAATAAATATAATCTACGAGAGTATCGAAACAGTCTATACATTTATAAACTAGTTATGTAAGAAACAATGTTTGGACTGTTTTCGGTATCAGGCTTCTCGGAAAATTATATCTATCTAAAGGTGAATCGCTGTGACATCCTTATTCTCGGAACCACTTTGAAACTTTAAGTGCAAAAATATAAGCTTCTACGACACGTGCAACATTCAAATTGTTACTCCACGTTTGCTGCACTGCATCATATATGAAGTAGCAATTTCAGGTGAAATGGGGCACCGATTTCCGAGATTTGTGTAATTGAAAATTCGAGTGGAGGTGCATGTATAGCCTACGTGGCGGCCATTTGTGGACTCTACAAGGAATCACCTTAATATCGATTTGAAATTGTTAGTTGTCACTATTGTTATTAATTTTGAATGTGAGGTTCTCTTGGGGGTTGAAAACTCAGAATAAATTACTTATAATAATCGATTAGTTTATCTCCTGAATAACTTCATAATGCTTTAAGCAACAAAGAATATCCGTATATTTTGATTGTAATAATTTTGGATGTAAAAATGACACGAAAAGTTAGTTGAACTCTCTGATTACATTTGGGATGTCAAGAAAATTGTTTTTATTTACTCTACGGGCTAACTGTTCAAGATTTTCTCTTTTTCAAAGATATTTTAAAACCGAACAAATCTCAAGTAAAATCCACATATTCAATATAATTTCAATTAAGCTATTTTTTTTAGTGAGACATACAATTTCAACACAATATAGTAATTCAATATCTTTACTTGTTTTTTTTTCGAATAATCATAGGTATGCGGTGTAACTGGAAGAAGCTACACTTATGGACAACTTAGAGACCATTGCGCAGCGCTGGCCATCCGTTTGCAGCAGAATTGCAAGCTCACTTTCGGTGATACGCTGGCGATTTGTTTACCGAATCTACCCGAATTCCCGGTAGTGACATTTGGGGCAATGGAAGCGGGTTTGGTCGTAACCACAATCAATCCCATCTATACTGCTGGTAAGTTTTCAATTAATAATTGTATGGTATAAAAATATATACCAGAATATCGCTAACACACTGTACCACCTAATCGATGGCCATAATAGAATGTTATCGTGATATTGAACGAGATCCTATTGAGTAAGGACCGTACGTTCAAACGCCACCACCGATAAGATAACGGAACAAGGAAATACGGCGACTTCATTGTACGAGCATTGCTGCGTCGTAATCTTGCCACCTAGACGATACCTCAAGTGCTTATCAGAGCTCTCTTGAAACCAAGTCATGCTTATAATAAAATGATGAATGACCCCCTTCACAGAATATTTGACTTACTCATTGCGAAGATAAAAATGTCTATCACATGGAAATTCAACGTGTACCTGCGTTATAATCAACCTAGGATGCGAAATCCACTCTGATTTCTTGATTGATAACTAATTTGTTAGCCGTACAGAAAATTGTTTCACACTTCATATTATTTACTGCTGAGATGAACTAGTCTACGGCTAAAAACCACATAAATAAACAATATAAAAAAAAAACATTATTTACTCTGCAGAAATTTAAATTTCGCGGCAAAATCAAAAAAGTTATTTCTAACCAATCGGCATTTTTTAACTACTCAATCAGTCTTGATAGGTTACCGAAATCAATTCTGGGTAATTTTAAATTTAACTGTGCTTGTATTTTTTTAACATGGTGATATAATGTACTATGCTTGAAAAAATGCATCTATTACTATTTTTTTAAGGTGGACTCAAACCGATCTAATAGTTTTACAATCAATATGTTTTGTTCGTCAAATTTGTAAAGAGTACATGTTCTTTGCTTTTACATAAGTTATGTTTTGAAAAATTGATAATACTGCTATCAAGTTCATTATTTTCTTGTAAAAATTACTTTTGTTTAACACGTTCCTCTTAAAAGTAACGGTATTTTCAAGTATTAGATCTGAAACCAACAAATCAACCAAATTGGTGCCAAAAGTTAACTTTGATCTAGCATATATGATGAGCATTTCCTACTTAATTGTGTACTTTTAACCATATTATCCCAACCCTCGGAATTGTTTCGTTTACGAGATATTGCGTTTGTCGTCTAAATTGCATCTCTGGTGCATTGTACAAAATTTATCCATGACTATAACGTTTACAAAAATAATTATGACATGCTAAACAGGGATCAATTGTTGAAAGATAAAACATGATATGATAAGGTATGCAACGTTTTATAGTAAACAGCTGCTGCGTATATTCATCCATATTGACCGGTTCAATAACATTTATAGAAGGCTGCTGCAAATTTTATTTTTATATTATATCACCCCCTCTTAAGAAAAATAACAAAATTTTGAAGAGGCGAAAAAAAAATCAGAAATTGTCGCTTGCTCTGCACTATATCTTAAAACTACATTTTATTATTTTTAATTTATTATCATTAAATTAGGTGTTTATGTATTAATTTTCATTCGTCCTTTGTTATTTATTTTATGACACCCAGTTATGTTGGGCATAAAATGAACTTAATATTTGCATCAAATTAATGTCGTAAATCCAATGTAGCAAAAAGCTACATTACATAATCTAACAGAATCACTGAATGATTCTTTATGCTGAAAAATTTAATTTAAAGATGCATTCAACAATATTTAATGGATATGCAATAATTTGATGCAAAGTGTGCAATAATAGAATTTCAATGCAAATGATACGTGTCAGGCAAATTGGTTTATTATATGGAATGTTTTTAAGAATATAAACTGCTGATGAACTCAGGAAATGCTTCATGAATTACATTACATGAATTACATTGAAAATTATACTTCTTTCAAAAATCTCATTGATGCTAAAGCTATATCACGATTTTCAGAGCTACCGCATTCCTACCGTTTATTTGTAATAATCTTAGCTATCATTTGGAGGGGCTGTCAGGTTTTCAGACGAAATGTTATGTTGAACCACCCTTCTGTTAAGCTTGTGGGTTGTTTTTGGCAAACCGTCGTCGAGCACCACATTTTAACATACATACTCAGCCGATTACACAAAAATCGAAAAAAAAAAACAAATTTGGAATTGTCCATCAAACCCGCTGCAATGTGACAAGAGCAATCATATTAGGGGCTGTTCATAAACTACGTAGACATTTTTTTTTGGGATTCTTGACCCCCCCCATCCCCCTGCGTAGACAATTGCCCATACAATTTTTTTTTTAATTTGTATGGGCCGTGGATAATTGTCAACCCCCCCCCCCCTAAACTGTCTACGTAGTTTATGAACAGCCCCTTATCTACAGTCACCCCAGTATTATGGGTCACCCACAATTATGAACCAGGTCCATTTAATTACCACGCAAAACTGACTGACCCATAAAACTGACTAGCTGGCTCATAATACTGCGGTGACTGTACTACTAAACCTAATACTCGTTCCAACAAGATACACTGGAGTCGCTTTTTACGCGGGTGATATGTCCCGCGTAAAAAAAAACCGCGTAAAAAAAAACCGCGTAAATTCCGGAATCCGCGTAAAAAAAAACCGCGTAAATTCCGAAATCCGCGTAAAAAAAAACCGAGTAAAAAAAGACCGTGTAAGAAAAAAACGCGTAAAACGCGATATACCGCGTAAATTCTGAAATCCGCGTAAAAAAAAACCAAAATCCGCGTAAAAAAAAACCGCGTAAATTCCGGAATCCGCGTAAAAAAAAACCGCGTAAATTCCGAAATCCGCGTAAAAAAAAACCGCGTAAAAAAAAACCGCGTAAAAAGCGACTCCAGTGTACAGTAAAATCTTCAACAAAACAACTTTATTTCATTACAGACGAAATAAGCAAGCAGTTGATCGACAGTGATGCCAAAATTCTCTTCGGTACAGCATCGAACTATTCCGTGCTAAAGCAGGCAACCAATCTGGCGAACAAGCACATTCCGATAGTTTGCGTGCGAACTAGCATGGATGAAAATATCCCAAATGGGGCCATCGATTTCGCCGAGCTATCGAATCCAACTGGTAATATGCACTAATATTCACTACGTTCGAACTTATTGTTAAGCCGAATTCTGCCTATTGCAGGAGTACATTTCAGCAATCTGCGGCATCACAACCGGGACCCAGATGATGTGTTGTTCCTTCCATATTCGTCCGGAACCACCGGTCTACCGAAAGGCGTGGAGCTGACTCACACGAACATAATTGCTAACAGCCAGATGTTGGCTGTTAAAACTGGGTGCTCCACTGTGACGCTGCCAACAACGGATACTTTCCAGGACGTTCTGCCGTGTGTGTTACCATTTTTCCACATCTATGGATTAACGGTGACCATGATTTCAAAACTGCAGCAAGGTTGCAAACTAGTCACACTTCCAGCATTCCGCCCCGACACATTTCTGAACGCCCTAACTGAACATAAGGGTTCGGTTCTGCATCTGGTGCCACCGATTAGTGAGTTATTCACAATTAACACAAACCGTCACACAATGTTAACTCATGTTCATTTTTTTACAGTCCTTTTCTTGAGTCATCACGATATGGTTAAACCGGAACATCTGAAGTCAGTTCGAAATATATTCTCTGGTGCCGCGCCCATGGGCGCCTCTGACGCTGAACGAATGCTTTCGAAAGCACCTCAAATTATGTTTGCTCAAGGCTACGGTCTCACTGAAACGTCTCCAGTTGTACTGTTTGGTGCTATGGGATCCAAAAACTATTCCTCCGTTGGATCACCTCCACCAAGAACTCAGGCAAAAATCGTGGCTTTGAACGATCCAACCAACACGGCACTTGGACCAAACCAGAATGGTGAACTGCTAGTGAGAGGACCACAAGTTATGAAAGGATACCACAACAATAAGCAAGCCACGGATGATATTTTCACGGAAGGTGGATGGCTTCGCACCGGCGATATCGCTCACTATGACGACGATCTACAATTTTACATTACCGACCGATTGAAGGAACTGATCAAAGTCAAGGGATTCCAAGTCGCCCCAGCTGAGCTGGAGGAACTGCTTCGAAACCACCCTGCTGTTGAAGATGCTGCAGTCGTCGGACAGCCTCATCCCATCTCCGGTGAAGTTCCCCGGGCATTCATCGTAACGAAAAAGAACTCCAATGTGACTGAAGATGATCTGAAAAATTTCGTCGCTGAAAAAGTAGCGGTTTACAAAAAACTCGATGGAGGTATAACCTTTTTGGATACTATTCCCAAGAATGCCTCCGGAAAAATTCTGCGGCGTCAACTCAAAGAAGAGTATTGTTCTTGAATAGGTCATGATTAGATTTAAGTGTTATACTTAAGATTTGGCAATGATTTTAGTACTTCATACATAACTGTCATTCCTTGCGCTGCAGATAAAATACTATCACACATGTATCTATATCTCATAAATTCCATAAGCCGCTAGACAGTCTATCTGATTAACTTATACTCGGTAACCTAAGGTACGTAGAATCAAAGCAGTGTTTTAGATGTGATTGTTGTGCTAATTTTTAAGTTAATTATTTTCTGAGGCTGTCTCCAGTGGGAACAACTCAGCCAGCAGAATTTTGATATTGAGTATGTAGCAGTGCGAATACCGGTTTGTGAAGCATTTTCATGGTTATGTAACTGCATACATTTTACAGTAAACCAATCTTTTAGAAACTGTTGTTTTTCTACTATTACTATAAAAGGCAATCCCAACTCAATACATAAACCCCTTAATTCAAGACCAACAATTGAAATGGCCTTAACTCCATTTTGTAAACAAACCTTGTAAGGCCATTTTCTCGCGAATCGAAACCTTCATTCGCAAACCTAAACCACAATCGGGTAGAGGAGAATTTTCCCTACCAACATGGTTTGCCTTTGCGGACTTCGGTTCGCGAGAAAATGGCCTTACCAGGTTTGTTTACAAAATGAAGTTAAGGCCATTTCAATTGTTGGTCTTGAATTACTATCCACAAACGATGTAGATAGGTGAAGAGGAGGCTCGACAAGTGACATATAATTGATAACATTTATTTTAAACGTCAGCGCTGGAAGAGGTTGGAGGGAGGGCAATCGCTTTTGGCATAACGACTGGCATAATAAGACAAATGCATTTTTGATCTTTAAAACGACACATTAGGTAGAGCATGTAGGGTAAGAGTGTATACAATGCCCCACTGTGGCAAAACACCCTCTTTGCATTTCTATGAATTTAGCGTTAATCTAAATTCAATAATGATGGACATTCCTAGTAATTAGTGAGAGTACTCTACTATGCAAGTTCGACAGCTGTCATATGTCTAGAATCAATAATAAATTTAAAAATCTAAAAAGGTTCCTTCCGAGTACGTTTTTGACTCATTACGGGAAGCATTTTAGCGGCGAAAAAAACCATTCAGACTCGGTAGATCTAATCTGATGTCCTAGTTGGAAAACGGCATGAATTGCGATATTTGCTGTTATATGTAATGATATCTCACTTCGGTTCACCCGCAGGCAATATGCGTCACTTCAAACGGAGCGATATGCCCAATTTTTCATGCGACTGTATAAGCTGAAATAAGTATTGAAAACAAAAATTTAGCAATTTAAAATAGTAACTATTTCAAAAGATATTATCAAAATAGTTGGGTTTTGTGCAGTATGAGAAAATCGGAGCATTCCACCCCTTTGTTGTGGGTTATACTATCCGTTGTGTATGGCGGACATATTAAAGCTCACAGTTGAAAAACCTACAATTGAGGCGTTGTTGAAAAGTGGTCTCTATATTTAAATTCATTCATGGTCAGAACTTTTTTTTTAACTTCTACGTGATTATTCCGTTAATTTGAGAAAAAAACGGTAAAGATATTGTCATTTTTCTGAAGGGGGGGGGGGGGGGATTGCAGATTACCTGCTTACCCTACCTTTTGGAAGACACCAAACCAAAGATCTAACAACACTGTTTGGCAGTTGGTTTAGAGTTAAAATGTTGCAGAAACTGAAAGAAAGCATGGAATCAATAAACAGTTAATTACTATGCACATGAAAATGTCCAGTTTTTTTTCATCTGAAGTCATTTTGAATCTTTTAAACTTTCAATATTTTCCAATAAATCATAGTAAAAAACGACACTTCCCTCGAAACGACGTCTGAAAAAAAAGAGTTGGATATGCCTTTTCAGAACGGCCAGTAACAGAGGAACTAAAACATTGTCTTTATTAAGAAATGAACTTATCCGCCTATGGTGAGAACTGACCCTTCTTACGAATTGATTCCATGCGTCCCCGCATAAAACAATAACCATAAGAAGTGCCTATAACTACCAATTCGGGATATCATCCCAACTTTATGTGGTAGGGTCGTACCATCTATGATATCGTTAGTATATGGTATCCGTTTATTAGGGGGTGTTGGCCCTTGAAAAGAACTGGAAACTACACCCAATTGAAGAAGGCATAATGAGGGATTCATCATCGCAGGGTGTTAGTGGAGACCGCATGAACGGAGGATGTGAAATACCGAGCTGTGGTCCAGCATGAAAATGGAGAAAGAAAAAGGTGGAGTGTATTAGTGAGTGAAATGCATCATGTCGAAATAAATTGAAAAAAAAAAGTTTCCGACTGGCCTCGAACCATGAACCTATACTTTCTCCACTGCTCTTTCCATGCTTTGGAATATAGATTGGCTAAAAGCAAAGGCGCTCATTTCCTCTCATACTCGATTTGGTATGCTTTTTCTGCTTAAAGGGAATTGGTTATAATCGTTATAATGTTATAAATAAAAAGCTTGCTGGTATACAGCTATCCCCCGAAGAACGCGTTACCCACTGAGTTGCACCCACCGCTTTTTCTCGGCGGGGTTTCAACCAATTGGTCTGATTTTTTGCATGTGAGTAGTGCCAATCAAGAACTAGTCACGCGCAGAAAATCAGAGCGCTTGGTTGAAAACACACCGAGAAAAAGCGGTGGGTGCAACTCAGTGGGTAACGCGTTCTACGGGGGAAAGCTGAAGTCGAACGCGTAGACAGAATACGAAATAAAAAAGATAAAAAATTATAACATCGTCTGCTTGGTCAACTTATATCATTGCGAAGAATGATCGGAAATTAGCGGTGCCGGTGGTGTAGTGGTAAGCGTGATTACCTCTCATCCCAGCAGGCCTGGGTTCAATCCCAGTCGGCACCGCCGGGATGTTCTGAGGCATATAACATCTCTGATCAGGGAAGTAAAGCCGTTGGTCCCCGGTTCATGAGTTGATGGGTCGATAGGTAGGGTCCAGGTGTGGGAGCTGCCTTCCTGGCGTCGGTAGCATTGGTGCTCAGCACGGAAAACAAGATCGACGGAAACCAAAAAAAAAAAAAAAAAAATGATCGGAAATGCAACTAACATTCAATGTCATGCATTTATGGTTTGCGTGTACCCAAAGTGTATCCGGAACATGTTCGGATGTGTCTAATATAACTGTTGGGACCATTGCACATATTTTTTGTTATGTCCCTGGAAATGTAGATTGAGCGCTTTTACTTCATTAATCCATATTTATCTTCTCCTACAACAAAACGTGTCTTCTATTAGGATCCACAATTTTCTCAGCTGAAGGGTAAGTCAAAGGTTATGCTCTTAGCTATTACTATATATTAATTAACTATCTTTTAAACAAATGTACCTTACAAATTTCTAAGCTTCCATAATCCCCTATCAAGTCGCTCACAACCAAATCATCATCACTATTTTTGATAAGTTAACTCCAAGATTATCTCAATTACCTGACTGAAGGTGTAAGCTATCTAGGCTATCTGAAAGGTCAGCAATGTCCAGATCACCCATGCTTGACTTCGTTATGGCAATCAGCTTCCCGTATGATCGGTAATGCTTGTTTCGAGCACGCAGATGCGCTTCCTTTCTGTTTGACGACGCCTTGATCAGGAATGTGACGACGCCTTGATGCACCATTACAAATCAAGACCAACAATTGAAAAAAATGCAAAATATTTTTTGTTGCTCCATTTGTAGCCGGATGTTCTGGGCGCTCTAGAATCTGTTTGATACCATTTGCCACAAGAACACTTTTAACAGATCCTGCTACAAATTGCGTGCCGTTATCGCGGACAAACTCATCGAATAATCCAAAACGGCAATACATTCCATCAGCTTTTCCTAGATGAAGATATGATAACAGACAAGCAGAAATAACACTCTCAAAATCTTCATCAAAATAGCTTTTAACGGTAAATTTATATGTTTCTTAATAGGTAGTATCGTCACTTGTGGCGCGCATTATCAATTCCCTTGCGTTTGACTTTTACATACTACAGTCATCTGTTGAATGTATACGACAGATGGCGGTAGGCTTTACAATGAGAAATGTTCAATATGTTGTGTCTGTTTTTCTGTGTTATAATATTGAGGTAACGATAGGATAAAATCAAAACATTGATAAATATAACGCATCACTTTCCGAAATACTTCACTTCGCAACCGATGAACCATTCTGACGGCCATATGAGTACCCAAGCAACCATATACTCGCAATATAGCTATAGCAATGAGTATGGTTAGTTGGGGAATCCGATTAAACTGTCACTTCTTGCAACTTTCTTTCATTGTCTTTTGCACTTTGCATATAACACCATCTCCTTCTAATCTGTATGGACCGCTTGCGAGTGCTCGGTGGACCAGCTACTTCAGACCAGATGACCATGACAATGCAAGAAAATTAGTTTTCGTTGAAGGTAGTATCACATCACAGGTTATGTCTATTTGATATTTTTACAGATGGACATGAAGATCCAGTGGAAGTGCCAAGCAAAGGTGTTATTTCCTAGACAAATCAAGCATAACATTTGATAACGGCACAAAAGCATTTGTAAACAAACTTTCTAAGGCTCTTTACACGCGAACCAAAGTACACCCACGCAAACCAACAACATCATCGGATAGGGGCAACTATCACCTTTCCAAAAGTGGTTTTGGTTTGCGTGAGCGTACTTTGGTTCGCGTGTAAAGAGCCTTAGAATGTTTGTTTACAAATGCTTTTGTGCCGTTATCAAATGTTATGCATGAAATGATGTTTCAAGTTTCGTCATGGTAGTCGCCGTTAGCATCAATTATATTATATTCTTATATTCTACATATTTTCATATAAACATATAAAAGGGCGCTTGATTGAAGCGATTTGGATGGGGAGAGTGGAATTGTCAACTCCCTGTTTTTAACATTTCGTGAATTGTAGGTGAGTTCTTCTCCCCACTCATTAGGTCGTATGAATAAAAGCATTTACTTTACTTTTCCCGTAAGAAAATCACGGGAAAGTAAAGTAAACTCTTTTTATTCATACGGCCCATTGGGACATCCCCTCGTATGATAGCTTGTTCTGTATAGCGCTGGAACATTTTTATCGTTGGAAGGAGATTCTTCTTGCTCCCGTGGATCAAGCGTAATTGTCTCTGCTTACGGGTCCACCCTGCGTTTTTGGCCCTTCATTTAATGTTTAATTGAATAAAACCAGGTATCGTACTTGATCAAGTCATACGAGGTGGAGAGTCCACTGTCTTATGGCTGTACCCTGTAACAATGAGTGGTATCCATACATAAGTCAGAAACTAGCCACTCCTCCTGGGGTACACGAAACAAGTCCGGATGTGCACAATTAGGTCCTGGACGTTCAATGTGACAACTATTGATATTCGTTTTGAATTCTTATGTGATTTAAAGTGTCACATGATGGGTTTAAAACGATAAAGGCTGATTATAGACTCACGAACCATATTCACCGGAACATGTTTCAGCCATATATCCGTTCTATGGAACCACAATATCTTCCATTCGACGATTGTTGCGTCCAATTCGGTTCAATGGTTGCCGAGAGATGCGGCTTAGTTCCCTAAATTCATTTATTTTGGATCTTGTTCCATGCATATCTCCAGAGCCAGTTGACCAATTCCAAAAACATTCTAAGGCAATCTATGAGTCCATAAAATCTTTCATTTGGTGGTTGTTGCGTCCAATTAGGTTCAGTCGTTGCCGAGACACACAGACATGTTCCGATTTCGTCGAGCTGAGTCGATTGGTATCCCTTCGGTTTTCCAAGCGATGCGTATACCCCTCTTTGTAAGAAAGGTAAAAATTAATAAACATGTTTCATACAACTTGAATACGTCAATCTTTAACTTTACACATCTATTTAGCTGGAAAAATATTACATTGTCAATAAATTGTATGCATTTTTTTGATAAATGCGTTAATAAGAGGTGTACTCTCGCCACTTGCCACTGATGTGGTCTTCAGTTGCAGACCATCTTCTCAGGAGTCTATAAGTAAAAGGTTTCAAGAATGTGGGCTTACATCTTATAGCTAATTTGTTTATTATTATTTTTCAGTTGCAACCTGGATCGGGTATCAGGAGTGGGTCTGCTTGTTTGCTGACAAACGTCAGTTGTAAACAAACCTTTCTCAGTTCGAGGTTAGCACTGACAAAAAGTTTGGGTTCACTCAGATTTCAATACCTATATGGTTCCTTCTTAAAATAACAGTTAAAACTGATTCGACAGTTTAAATTGGATCGAAATGCATTACGTCTTTGCCAGACCTAGGTAAATCAATTCGCAAGAGGTAAGTTTGACAATAAAGTCAGGCATGGTACACAAATTAGGCAACGCATAAAATCTAGATTTTTACATACTCCCCGCCTATGTAACAATAAGTTACTCAAACTCGCCCCCCCCCCCTTTTTAAATTGATTACAAAAACTCAACAGTTTAAACTGTTTTTGCTATGTTATGGATAATAACGGAGATGAAAATAAATATAACACACTGTTTGCTTGACCGTCCTGCCATGGCGGAGGTATTCGAGATACTATATTGTTTTCTATATTTCTTTGTATAGTAGCTACAGTGGGTAGGGTAGTTGTACATATAGATGACGTTGCACAAACACTACCTGTATTTTACGCTGTGCTCTAAAAGTTACATGTTTTGTTCAGAAAATTTCGCGAAAAACTAGGTTGGCCCACTAAGAGCCAACGAAGACATAAATTTTCAACAGCGTTTTCCTCTACAGCTTCGCTTTAGAATTATTATTTTTTACTTGGGTCAATCTGTTGCGTAACATTTCCCACTACCCCCTCCTTCCTACGTAGCAATAAGTAAAGTAAACCCGACCCTCTCTCCTCCATGCGTTACGTAATGTGTGAAGCTTCATCACAATTCTGTATTCTGCTAAAAACGGATTTCTCATACAACAAAAAAAAAACGGAAACGCCAACGCCAACGGAATAGATAATAGGGGTGACTATCGAAAGGAATAAGAAAACACAACATGATTTTCGGCACGAAGCTCATCGCTTATTGCCGTCAATTCTAATACAAAAAAATACAACCATCTTCCATATTTTCAAACAATTTGTTTGGCGAACATAAATAAATGAACTCTATTACGAATTGCTTCCTCGCTTACACCGATGATGCGAACGTTTGACGCTGAACCAATTCCTTAAACATACCGTTTTCTTTCGCTATCAATTGCTCGTAGTTTCCATGTTCGACAACTTTTCTGTCGTGCAATACGGCAATATTGGTGGCATTGCGTATCGTGCTCAACCGGTGAGCTATCGTTAGGACGGTACGGTTTTTCGTTAGATTTTCCAAAGCATTCTGGATAAGTTCTTCCGAAACAGCATCCAGTGCACTGGTTGCCTCGTCCAAGATTAGAATTTTGGGGTTCTGTGGGAAAATGAAGTTGGTGAAAAAATTCCAACAATACTATATATATATATATGGGTTTTTTGTTACCCGAATGATCGCCCTCGCAATTGCGACTCGTTGCTTTTGCCCTCCGCTGAGCATGATTCCTCGTTGGCCAACGCGAGTATTCATTCCATCAGGAAAGTCCTTTGCAAACTCATACACGTGGGCCTCGCGAATCACTCGTTCGAACTCTCTTTCCGATATTTTGTCACCCAGATTCAGTCCGTAAAGTATGTTCTCTCGAATGGAGCCGCTGAACAAGACTGGTTCCTAGAGAAATTATCAATAGCTACTAGGAATCAGTATTGAGGGAGATGAGCTTATTTTCAAACCTGATTAACAGCTCCAATATGTTGACGAAGCGACATTGGATTTAGATCTCTCAGGTCACGCCCATCGAGTGAAATAGTACCAACTTGAGGATCGTACAATCTAAACAAAAATAAATAACTTTTTGGATACATTCGAAATCAAGAGCGGTATTTACCTTAACAATAACAATGCCAACGTCGATTTTCCCGAGCCACTTCGTCCAACAACGGCAGTAGATGTTCCTGGTTCAATTTTCAAACTCAAATCCCTCAGTACAGCAGCATGCGGTCGGGATGGATAATTGAAGCTAACTTTATCGAACACAATCTCTCCTCTTGGAGTCTCTTTCAATACTAGGCCACCATCTACCGGAATGGTATGCTTCCGGTCCACAATTTCCCATAGCCTCGTCGCAGAGCCTACACCCTTGTTCAATTCAGTATAGAAATTACTTATACCTCCTATAGATATGGCAGTATATCCAGCGTACAAAATGAAAGACGTTAGTGCTCCCACCGTCATCTCGCTATTGCTAACCATCGTTCCACCGTAGTATAACACCGATAGAATTATGATGTTTCCCGAAAGACCGGTCTAGGATGATACATTAACATTATCAATTATGGATTGAGTAGATTGCATACTGCCTACACTTACCATACCATAAAAAGTTGCTCTCGCCTTAGTTTCTCGATATCCTATATTCAATGCATCCATCAGCTGTTCGGAGAAGAGTTGATTCTCAAACTTCTCCTTGCAAAACATTTTCACAGTTTTGATGTTCCCCAAGCGTTCCTCGCCGATCTTCATTATGTCGGCATATTTGTCCATCACTTCTTTCGTAATGTTGCGCACAAACCGTCCGTAGAACACGGCCATCCCAGCCACACATGGTACGATGCACATGCCCACCAATGCCAAGTGCGGCGATGTGTAGACCATCATTCCCGTGCCAGCTATAATCATTGCTGTCGATCGAAGCCCGTCGGAGAGATTCATACTGAGCGAGTTTCCCACCTGATACGTGTCGTTTGATAACCGGTTTACCAGCTCACCAGTGCCCTTCTGATCGAACCACCCAACTTCTTGGTTCAACATCGAACTGTACACTTTCGCCCGGATGTCTCGCGTTATTCGAAGAGCTGCAAAACATTGGAAATCAAATTTCAAGTTACTAAAATTCTAACAAGTTGTTTGTTGATTTATCGTAAGGTTTTTTTTAGAAGGAAATAAGGAAAGGACACATTGGTCGGAAGAGTACTCAGGATTTTTTTTATTAAGGTGCGAACTCTCATTTTTGCGCCCCTCTCTTTCATTTTATTATGCCCTCATCACATTTTATAGAGATTTTCACGTCCGGTTGTATTGGTGCAATATGTGAGAGCGTGTTAGTGAAAATGCGAGGAAATACATAACAAATCATTGCCAAACTAGTTTTGACAGATCTTCTTTTTTTTTCTTTTCCAACTTCCCTTCCGAAGGAAGACGTGACCAGAGATTTTTATGCCTCAGAAAAATCCCACTGACCTCGGCTGGGATTGAACCCAGACTCATTGGGGTGAGAAAGCAGTCACGCTTACCACTACACCACCGGCGCCGGCCAGTTTTGACAGATCTAATTTCATACATGTTTTAGGTTAGTCAGATGAAAATAATAAACAACTTTACACGGCGATGCACCCGCTAGTGTTCGTGTGTTAAACGTCACTCTATAAGCACACGTATCAATATTATTGACAATAATCGTATTAATGCGAATACTTCCTTCAATCACATCAATACATTTTTTTCCCTTAATTTGTTTTCCGTTGATCTTGTTTTCCGTGCTGAGCAACAATGCTATCGACGCCAGGGAGGAAGCTCCCACACCCGACCCTACCTAGCGCCCCATCAACTCATGCACCGGGGACCAACGGCTTTACTTCCCCGTAAAGGCGTGATCAGAGATGTTATTCCTCAGAACAACCCAGCGGCACCGACTGGGATTGAACCCAGGCCTGCTGGGCTAAAAGGTAATCACGCTTACCACTACACCACCGGCGCCGCTGATCAATACGTTATTGGTATTGACAATATTGGTGATAATGCTTTACCTTACACCATCTATATTGTTGTCAATAAATCCCCTTGTTATCAATATACCGTAGACCCCCGGTAATCTGTCAGTTTTAATCTGAACACTTTTTAATTTGAACGCTAATTTGCACGCCGTGCAAACTAAAAATGCGTAAACCGTAATTTAGCACAAGGAATGGAGTAAAGCGTGAAACGTAACGTAGAATTCAAATTAAAATCAAATTAAAACTGAACCCGGTTAATATGCATGAAGTGTCGTTCAGACTAGCGGGGGTCCACGGTATTAATACGTGTGGCAGGGGTTGAAACTGTTGACGTTTTTTATTACACTCGCTTCGTTGTCCTGTGCGACAGTCTGTTTGTTTTCGTACTCTCATGCTCTACCGTCGTATCTCTTACACAACGCAAACGGTAGAACAACATTCGAGCAAAAAGAAAATTATCAAATAACTATCATATGACATGTGTGATTCCGTTCTAATTCCTCAATTTGGTGTAAATAAACCCTTTCCTGATCAGAAATGCTATTACTAGAACATCGTTGCTTGCTTTTTTCAGAATTCACACAAGCACAGCAGCAGCAGCTCTTATTATGGAAAAAAAACTAAAATACATATATTCGTGACGGTCTTCGGCGACAATGTCGTATGACAGAGCCTTTCATATGACATTTTAGTTTGGTACTGTAATTTGATAGCTTGTTTGCAAGTGTCGGAAGCAAAGGCAGTCGACTACGGTGACCGCTTACAAGACTGCGTGTGGGGTCCACATAAGGGTAGCGTAAAACAGAGAAAAAATATCACAACAAATTCTCTTACAAGAAATGGAAGTTGTTCAATCTCTGAGGCTGTTTTCCATCTGATGAATTTTCACTTAAATTTAACAGGGATGGAAAATTTTCAAATATCTCTACACGGCGAATGAGGACGACGAAATTTGAGTTTAGTTTCCTGTGGAAAACCTCAAAAATTTACTGGAAAATGAGGAAAATTGATGAAAACTTTACTCATTCTATGAGTAGTACCAATAGACTGAGTGAATTCAATATTTACTTTTCTCATATTTGGTAAGTTTTTCCTGGACAAACCTGGGAAAACATGAGGCAAATTACCTCATCGCTGCGTACTTGCACAACTGTGACAACTTTAGCAACTGAGCTTACTGCTTTAATATTTTAATATGTCACTAAAATCCGGAGAATATGAAAAGCTCATTTCTCATGTCTATTTTTATGTCTGGTAAAAAATCTGACATACGCAATTATCATGGCATAACCATTATATCTTCCATCCCAAAGTTTTTTAAGGCGATTTTTAATGAAAAAATATTTACCTAGTTCAAAAATGGAATGAATACGGCTATATGGGGTTCCATATAGTCCGTGAAAGATGTATTACCTAAATTTAATCGTAAAATACTCTATTTTCCTCTATGCATCTTGGATATCCTATTTCTAACAAAAATCCATATGAGACTGTTATGCTTTTAAGCGCAGTATTGTAGCAAGACAAAACTAAGAGAGTTCAAGTGATTTAGCGTTTAAGATAATCATTGTAACAAAAACGGTCTACAAATATGATTGACGACAAATAAATAAATAAATAAGATTCTTCAAATCTCTTCTTGTAAGTTACAAGTACAAAATGTTTTTACAACATCTAATGACTTTATAATTACGAAAAATGTATTTTATAGCAAAGTGAGTCGAAGCAACCCTGCTTGCTACACATCTGAGAAAGAGATGTGTAAGTTTACAGGGTCTCGCGGCCACATTAGCTTAAATTTGGTTACCAAGAACACTTCAATAGCTCTTCACAACTTGAATAGCGCTTCACAATTGTTCAATTAAATGGTCAAAATTTAACCCATTCAATTGTTTCATTGTACAATTTCAGCTAACAAAAACACACACACAATTTCAAGCTAACATTAAACATTGGGCAAAAATTGTCAAAAATATCCAGTAAGAGCTATAACCAACAATGATTTGAATTATCATACTATTTACACTTCAATACTGCTCGGTATGTTCTAGATATCCATAACTGCCCAACATCCAGCATAGGAGCAAGTTTTGGTGAAACTGCTAATTTTGAGTATTGTAAATATTTCATACTTACAGGCATTACTGAAAAGGTACACACGTCCGAAATTGGCTATGCCTCCCAGAAGGAAAACACCCGCCAACAGCATGCAAAATTGGTCCAACTGTTCCTTGGCTATTCCCGTTTCACTTGAAGTAGCGTAGATTGCATCTAAGATTTTGCCTAATCCGAAAGGTACAGACATGGTGATTGCCGACGAAAGCAACAAACAACTGACACCGCCTGCAATAAAACAGCTGATTATAAGTGATCCGTCTTACTGCCAGAAGTTAGTATAATCTGCCATCATACCAGCAATGTTCCATCTTTCCGGTTTTGCAAATTCCAGCAATCTTTGCACGTCGGTTGGTTTTAGCTTGACCTTTGGTGATTTTTGCGATTTCTCAACAGGTGTCAAGTTTGATTCACTGCTCGTAGCTGCGGTATATGAATTGTTGCTGCTATTACTTACATTACGAACAGGTGGAGAGTCCAGCCGCATCCATCCTTTCGCACTGTTACGAAATATGCTGAAATATCTCGTGATTCTAGTGTTAATTTCGGTCCGTGAGTATGTTCTTCGCGAACAAACTGTCCAGCTACTGTGACGTAACGATGGTCCTACGGCTCGAGCGATCGACGGCAATCCCGGAAAAAGTTTAGATCGGCTACAACCGCTTCGTAATACGTTGAGTAACATAATGTACGGCCACAATGTGATACTATTCTGGTGCTAGAACTCAAAGATGCATTTTTTGCGAATCAACCAAATCTGCTGATATGAACAGAACGACTGCATGCAATATTATGCTGCTGGCTTGGCTGTAATGTTTTGGTTTAGAATACGCGAGAGAGCATCAATGAGAGAAAGCAAATCGGACCAATCAGACAGCTCACACACACACTTGTAAAACCGCACATCAGCTGTCAAATATTCGAGAGTGTGGGTAAAGAAGAGCGTCAAGTAAGCTTTTGAGCTTTTTATGCTACTGTGCAAGAGGGTGGTTGCTTGGTGGCTGCTATCGACTTTCGCAAAGCAATAATGTTGAGCGACAATGGTTTTGAGGTTCAAATTTACATTGATGCATTTTCACAAAAAATCAAAAGCTGATTGCAGAAAACTCGCTTCATTTGTAAAATATCAAAAGGAATGCAGCCGATTTTGTCAGCCCCTCCACGCATCAGACTTCTATTTTTCAATAATTCAGTGTCAACATGGTGGCTTTAACCGTCGATTTCTCGCGAATAAAAGCTCACACAAGAAAATCAATGACTTCAACAGGTAGATGAATGTATCCTCCTCTACCAGCTGGAATTGTTAATTTGGAGGGGTGAGCTTTAATTTGCGAGAAATCAACGGCTAAAGCCATTGCTTACAAAAGCAATTACGTCCCTTTGAAATGTTGACACTGAATTTCCCATAACCGTTATTCCAAATTTTTATCATTCATCTTCAAGGTGGATGTTTAAGGTAAACTTTGGTGCAATTAAACCATTGAAAAAGCACAAGGGTTACGTAGAATATTAGAACAGATTTTCACAAAAAGAGCCGACAAAATTTGGTCGTTACTATAGTACGAGGCGAGCGAGAAAAAAATTAGAGCTGGGTGCATTGCATACATTTTGAAGTCTAGACATAAGCAGTACATTTTTGTTTCATTGCGGAAGTAGGACCATAAATGAAATTGAGCGCTTCCCTAATAAAATGGGTTTGGTTATTTTGCCGAACACGTCGTTCGGTGTATCATCCAAACTATTTATAAAATAGCTCTATCATTTCGATTATTGTTCGTTTATGGTTTTTTTTTTATAAGAGCTACCGATACCTGTTATACCAAACGTTTTGACCCTCGCTATGTTTCTCAACTGCGCCCATTGACCATTTCTGCTCAAATCCCAACAGAAAGATTAACTCCAATAACTTGTTTGACAAAAAATGTGGAAAAATTTATCGAAAAGGCAAAGTAAGGATCTAAAAAACAATCTCAACAAACTTTTATTGGACCAGTAAGGTTAAAGACCCTGCAAAGCTGTCGAAAAATTACCAGAATTTTCCTTTCAAAACAATAAGCACTATTTACAAGTAGAAGTAATCGATGGGTTCTATTTCATAAAGATTTGTTTGATGATTAGATCGTTTAAAAAAATATTTACTTTTTTAATGACATTCGGGGTCATGTATCGATACCAAGACGATTAGTCGGAAACTTGCACTTTTATCGCACTTTTCATGTGTAAAAGTGCTTATTTGTACAGTTTGGTGAGAAATGCGTAATATTGCATTCACGCAAAACAAAAGTATCACTTCGGGCATCCGCACATAAAAGGAAATGATAATTTCGCATTATTTATAGGTATGTGGGATAATGCTAATGCACCATGCGTCTCCATAGTTTGACGAATGTTTAAATTGGAACAAAAGATGTTCAGACGTCCGTTTGAAATGTACAGTATAATTCAATGTACGTTATTGCGCATTTTGCACCAAACTAGACTCCTGTGCAAAAAATAATTACACAGTAATATTTTCGCACATGCCAGAAAATTAAAAAAATCGGCTTATTTGAAAGCAGTAACAGCTTAAGAACATTGCTAGCAAGCTACGCTGTTGAATTAAAGCTCTAGAAAGCATTAAGAAGCTCCATATTCAACTTTTATGACCAGTGCGAAAATTATACTGTGTACTTATTTTTAGCGCAGGAGTCTAATCAGGTGCGAAATCCACAATACCAATGAGGATTGATATTTGTTTTAACTAAGTAATGGTTTCGACTGTATGCGATAATCGTGCATTTTTAACAGAATTTCTATTGAATTTTAGATTCGTTAACCACTGGTGGAATTTGGACTTTCCACCTCTGCGTGGAAAAGCGAAATCAAGGGTGCAATCCGCTTCCCCTGGATCTTCTGCTAGACAAAACTCTCCATTCCCCTGAATTCTGATCCCGAGCAGATCCAGGTTCTCGGTAAGTTCATCATCCAGTAGGTGTTTAAACACTAACTGCCCCACATCCGCACTTCTATCATCAAGGCCCTTAGTGTGTAGGTGGAATCACCAACTGGAAACATCCGGTTTATTGCTGTTTACTGCCCACGTCAACAGACTAGGAATCCAATTCTAGAACGACCTGACCACCATCACTTGAACCAGCGGAACCAGAACGGACGCCTGCTATTCGACCACTCTCAACATGGACTGTACACCGTACGGTTTCCGAACGAACCAACTTACACCTCTCCGGCGGGAAGTTGGCTGAAGTTGGCATTAACTGGGTGCAGTTTGGACGTTTAGGGGGTAAGTTTATTGCCATTGATTCCCACACCCAAATACTGATTCGCTTGAGAAAGGTCCGTAGACGCCAGTTTCAGAGGTCTATATATCTGGACAAAAAACGTGAAATGGCCGATTTGAACTGGCAGATTGCTTCCAAAATGGACTCAATTTGAAATTAAACTTTCGTACGTATTGTCCAGAACTCATCCCAAGCCCATTCATAATCTCAGAGACGAACATGATGACGATTGGCTCTTTATCACCCACAGGAGAAAGCAAATGCAATCGGCGAGCATGTCGCTTCATTGCATTTGCTTGGCTCGACTATCCGCTCAAAGATCATGTTGCGCAATACGTTCAAAACCTAGATGCCTCCCCTTGTTTCTTGCTTCCGCCGGATAATATTACAGTACAACATATTTTTTCGGCGCTGAAATGCACCAAGAACATGAAGGCTACCGGGTTTGACGGCAAATCAACTTGATCTTGAAAAGACTCAGCATGAAAGTGTAGTCTCTTTTAACCGCTATCTTCAACAGATGCTTGAAACTGCAATACTTCCCAAACGTTTGCAAGGTAGCAAAAATTATACCAATCCGCAAACCCGGTAAGGATCCAACATTGCCTTCAAGCTACAGACCAATCAGCCTCCTTTCAGCGCTGAGCAAATTTTTCGAGAAACTCATTCTCGATCGTTTGCTCAAGTTTGTCGAGGAAAACAATACTCTTCTACAGGAACAGTTCGCGTTCAGGAAGGGGCACTCTACCAATCACCAGATAGTACGGGTGATGAATAACATGTAACAAAACTGTATCCATGGCTTTGTGGTTGACAATGACTGGCATGACGGACTTATGTACAAGCTTCACAACTTCAACTTCCCATTACATCTGGTTAAATTCACCCGTAACTACCTCCAGCAAAGGTTGTTTACGGTATCGTTGAATGGTTGCCTTCATACACGAATTCCATCCTAGCAAGAATCCCGCAAGGAAGTCTGTTGGGCCTTTGCTTTATAGCATCTACACTTCTGACAATCCTCCCCTCGGAGACGTTTGCTTGTTTTTCCTGTTCACAGATAATACCGCAATTGCCGTCAAAGGAAGGATGCCTCGCGAAATAACAAACAAACAAAATAACAATAAAATCAAAATCAATGCTTTTAAAATTCATACAAACCGTAGTCAAGTGGTCTGCCTTGCTTAAGTGTCTGTATCCGGCGATTTGCCACAGATCCCGTCTCTCAAGGGTGAACAAACTAGCTGTCTACAAATAAATCATAGCACCTGAGATTCTCTCGGTGTGGGAATCATGTGCACAGACTCATAGGAACAAAATATAGCTTGCTCAGAATAGAGTGCTGAGGATGGTCCTTGAACGTCCATTCGATACAAGAATTTCAGATCTCCACCTAGAGGCGAACGTTCCAAAATTAGATTTTAAAATCGATGACATTAAGTCTAGGTACATGCTTTGATAAGCAATTTGTAATTCACATAAATTCGAAAAAAAAAATGTAATTTTGTTCCTTATCGCAAAATATTACACCCATATTTTTTTATCATTAGGGTGGCCATTTCCATGTTAGAGTGGTCAAAAATATATATATTTTTTTTCAAAAATTACATTTTTAAATTCATATCAGTTGAACCCCTGGACCAATTTTAAAGATAAGCATCAAATGAAAGGTAATTAAAAATTATTTTTAGAAAATCTAATATTATACTAAACTACCATGCGTCTCCATTGATTTATAGCCACTGTAACATGGTCACAACGCATGGTAGTCTAGTCGCAATAGGAGTATTGAGCGAAAACTCAAACTTGATAACTTAAAAATAACATAACTCAAAATAGAAAAAATACACATCGCTGATTTTTATATTTTGTTAAAATTTTCAAGAAAAAATATAAAAACATATTGTGCCCTCTGTCTACACACCATGAAAACCATTAAAAACAAATACAATCACTGTTTTTCAATACAAAATCCCATTTTTTTTTATATCATTATCATTAATTACCTTTCATTTGATATTTTGATCTTTAAAATGGACCACCCTAACATGGAAATGGTCACCCTAAAAACACTCTAAAATACACGTCTAGTCTATTTTGCGATAGGAACAAAACTACCCATTTTTACGTAATTCTGAGAACCACTGTATCGTTTTGCTATGGAATGGCTGTACACAGCAAAAAATATATTTTAATATCACGTCAAAGCGGATGCACTTCAATCGTGTAAAAAATATGGTGTGAAAGCAACCGTTGAAATAACTTCTAAATTTAATCCTTTAAATTTGTCGAACCCTTTAACGGACTCACTTTTATGAAGAGCTTTGAGTGGGTTGGTTTATTTCCTTTAAATTCCGTTATAATTGCTTATCTTTTGACAGATACGCGTATATCGTCTACTACTTGCAGACTTCATCAGTGCCAAGTACTCAACTCCATCTTTTATCTACGAGTTAAATACTAATCAATAGGTCGCGATTTACCTAAACAGGTACCTACATGTAGTCTCCATGCTACGAT